GGGTGAGACCAAAGTCCTCTTTGTCTGGCTGGTTTGGTTTGCCTTAGAGGTGGAAAAACCCCAGCCTTGGGCTGTAACTGCCCTGTTTTAGCAATTTCTACTGAATTGGCACTCTCAGTTGGCTCCCGCCAGAACCGCATCGTTACACACCCGCGAGAATGTTTTGCCCCATCATGCACCCAGAATTCCAATGGGCAGCAGGGACTGCGGGAACTGTAGGATAGCCACAGTGCACCGCTCCAACATTCAATGCTAGCCTCGGTACTGTGGATGCACTCCGCTGAATTCACGCGCTTTAGTGGGGACACACAACACTGAATGTATAAAATTGCTTCCGAAAATTCAAATAGAATAAGTTCAAATTAATTTCGTACTGCAGATGTACCCTTAGACTTCTTTGAAGATACCGCAGATGGTAAAGGTGCTGGCCAAGCAGGGCTGGCTCCAGGCACCAGCGGAGGAAGCACGTGCCTGGGGCGGCACATAGTAAAGGGCGGCATTCCATCCATTCTTGGGGCGGCACAGTCCAATTTTTTTTTTTTGCTTCGGCAGTCCGAGCGGCGGGGTTTTTTTTTTTTTTTTGCTTGGGGTGGCAAAAATGGTAGAGCCGGCCCTGTGTTCAAGCTACCATTATGGTCTGCTACTAGGAGAGTAATAATAGGGACCAGGCCTAGCCACAAATGCTGCCTGGAGCATCAAAGAACGGTTCCTTGAAGGAGATTCCTGACTCACTTTCCTGCCAAGGTACAAAAATTCTGAAGTCAAGCAGTCCAGTTTTCAGTAAAGCAACAGGTAAATTGACTATAATAGAGCTTTCTACATTCACTAACCTTGACCTCACTCAGCTATTGTGCAAAAGTACGATGCACTCCAGAGGAAAAAAATAATAAGTATGGCTTCAGTTGAAGAGATAGAAGACAAAGCCTCAAATGTTCCAGACACCCAGGATGCATCATACCACACCATCTCAGAAGATAGGTACATTCCAACATGATCAACCTTTAAATTAGAACTACACAAGGTGCAAGAGCATGTGCCCTGTGTATGCCCAATTATACCTGCTAGTCCCATTGCTTGCTCAGTAATTTAACTTGCTTTATTCAGCTGGAACTGAATCTCTCCTTGTATGGAAGCTGTTCCATACCCCTAATCATTTCTGTTGCCCTTCTCTGTACCTTTTCCAATTCTAATATATCTTTTTTGAGATGGTGCGACCAGAACTGCACACACTACAGTATTCAAAATGTGGACGTACCATGGATTTATACTGTGGCTCTGTGAAATTTCCTGTCTTATCTATCCATTTCCTACCTCTGTTAGCTTTTTTTGACTGCTGCCGCACATCGAGCAGATGATTTCAGAGAACTATCATTGAGGACTCCAAGGGCTCTTTCTTGAGTGGTAACAGCTAATTTAAATCCCATCAGTTTGTATTTATGATTGGGATCATGTCTTCCACTATGCATTCCTTTGCACTTATCAACACTGAATTTCATCTGCCATTTTGTTGCCTAGTCACTCAGTTTTGTGAGAGCCCCTTGTACCTCTTTGCAGGCAGCTGTGGACTTACCTATCTTGAGTAATTTTGTATCATCTGCGAACTTTGCCACTATTTACCCCCTTTTCCAGATCATTTATGAATATGATGAACAGCACAGGTTCCATTACAGATCCTCAGGGGACCCTGCTATTGGCGTCTCTCCACTGTGAAAACTGACCATTTAGTCCTACCCTTTTTTCCTATTTTTATCTACCCTTTTATCCTATTTTTTAGTTACTGATCCACTAGAGGATCTTCCCTCTTTTCCCATGACAGCTTACTTTGCTTAAGAGCCTTTGGCCTTTATTACAGTATGCAATTATTGTAAAAATCGTGTGGAAATGAGAGATTTAGGGAGGATCGGAGCTTCATTAGTGACATCAATTGCTGGAAAAAAATTATTTTAATTAACTTCTGAGAAAAAAAAATATAAAAAGTTGCTCATTTTTGCCTATTGCCATCTAGTGGGAAAAGGCCTGAACTGCAGACTTCTTTAAAAATCAAATTTTGGATTATTTTTACCTGGAAAAACCATCAAAGCTAGAAAGGTGCCAAGGGGTGCAACGGATTCAGTTACAACAAATCTAGTATTTGTATTCTAACGTTTATACAGGAAGCCGAACTGTTGGAAGTGGATGAAGGATCATAAAAAAACATCATAAGAACAGCCATACTGGGTCAGACCAAAGGCCCATCAAGCCCAGTATCCTGTCCTCTGACAGTGGCCAATGGCAGGTGTCCCAAAGGGAATGAACAGACAGGTTATCATCAAGTGATCCATGCCCTGTTACCCAATCCCAGCTTCTGGCAAACAGAGGCTAGGGACACCATTCCTGCTCATCCTGACTAATAGCCACTGATGGACCGATCTTCCATGAATCAATCTAGCTCCCTTTTGAACCCCGTTATAGTATTGGCCTTCACAACACCCTCTGGCAAGGAGTTCCAGAGGCTGACCGTGCGCTGCATGAAAAAATACTTCCTTGTGTCTGTTTTAAACCTGCTACCTATTAATTTCATTTGGTGGCCCCTAGTTCTTGTATTATGAGTAAATAACACTTCGTTATTTACTTTCGCTATACCGCTCATGATTCTATAGACTTCTATCATATCCCCCCTTAGTCGCTTCTTTACCAAGCTGAAAAGTCCCAGTCTTATTAATCTTTCCTCATACGGAAGCCGTTCTATACCCCTAATCATTTTTGTTGCCCTTTTCTGAACCTTTTCCAATTTTTTTTTGAGATGTGGCAACCACATCTGCACACAGTATTCAAGGTGTGGGCATACCATGGATTTATATAGAGGCAATATGATATTTTCTGTCTTATTATCTATCCCTTTCTTGATGATTCCCAACATTGTTTGCTTTTTTTGACTGCCGATGCACATTGAGTGGATGATTTCAGAGAACTATCCACAATGACTCCAAGATCTCTTTCTTGAGTGATAACAGCTAATTTAGACCCCATCATTGTATATGTATAGTTAGGATTATGTTTTCCAATGTGCATTACTTTGCATTTATCAACATTAAATTTCATCTGCCATTTTGTTGCCCAGTCACCCAGTTTTGTGATATCCTTTTGTAGCTCTTCACAGTCTGCCAGGGACTTAACTATCTTGAGTAGTTTTGTATCATCTGCAAATTTTGCCACTTTACTGTTGACCCCTTTTTCCAGATCATTTATGAATATGTTGAATAGGACTGGGCCCAGTACAGATCCCTGGGGGACACCACTATTTACCTCTTTCCATTCTGAAAACTGACCATTTATTCCTACTCTTGGTTTCCTCTCTTTTAACCAGTTACCAATCCATGAGAGGACCTTCCCTCTTATCCCATGACTGCTTATTTTTGCTTAAGAGCCTTTGGTGAGGGACCATGTCAAAGGCTTTTTGAAAAATCTAAATATACTATATCCACTGGATCTCCTTTTTCCGCATGCTTGTTGACCCCCTCAAAGAATTCTAGTAGATTGGTGAGGTATGCTTTCCCTTTACAAAAATCATGTTGACTCTTCCCCAACAAATTATGTTAATCTATGTGTCTGACAATTTTGTTCTTTATGATAGTTTCAACCAATTTGCCTGGTACTGAAGTGAGGCGTACCAGCCTGTAACTGCCGGGCTCACCTCTAGAGCCCTTTTTAAAAATTGGTGTCACATTAGCTATCCTCCAGCCATTTGGTACAGAAGCCAATTTAAATGATAGGTTACAGATGACAGTTAGTAGTCCTGCAATTTCATATTTGAGTTCCTTCAGAACTCTTGGGTGAATACCATCAGGTCCTGGAGGCTTATTACTGTTTAGTTTATCAATTTGTTCCAAAACCTCCCCTAAGGACACATCAATTTGGGACAATTCCTCAGATCTGTCACTCAAAAAGAATGGCTCAGGTTTGGGAATCTCCCTCAGATCCTCAACAGTGAAGACCGATTACTTAGCACAAAAAATGTTGCTAGACTGAATTAGTCTAAACAAAAAGGTCTACCGATTGCACACGAGGACTGTGTGGCGTTCATGTGAGGAAAATGGAACTGAAAATTAACAGACCAAATTTGTTGTGCTGGAAATTAGGCTAAATTGGGTTTGAGGGGGGCACAGTAGGCAGGACCCATGGCAGTGAGGTAGGAGGCAGCCAGGGCTCTATTTCCACTCCTTTATATGCATCAAGCAGCCATGGGCGAGGAGATCAGGGAAGCACTTTCTGATCCCCACCATGGACTCACGGTACTTCATGCTCTGGAACTGGGAGGCACGCGAGGGGAAATTTAGTCTTCCCAATCTCTACCTCCCACCATCCTACCACAGTGCATCATAGGAAACAGTGTCCCTCACATCCATCTCAGGTGCTGGTGGAACCACTCCCTTGATGCCTAAGTGCTGATGCATCATGAGAATTGTAGTCTCTTTACCACAGCCCCAGTGCCTTATAAGAGTTTTAATCCCTCCCTCCCCCCACCCCAGCCGCTGTTGCTGTTACTAAGATACATATCGGTTTGGTAAGGGCGATGATCATAGCCCCTGATGATTATGGACAGGTGCTGTGCTTGAGCTGGGGCTTGGTTTCTATTAAAAGGTTCCTGACTCGTTCTGTATTTGTGGAAAAAAAATGATATGGTTTAATCATATGGTGATAACCCGCTTCCCATTGCACTGGTATCACTGGAGGATGTTAGACAGAAGCTACTGAAGAGACAAGGTAGAAGAGGTAATATCTTTGATTGGACCAACTTCTGGTGGTGAGAATTTGTCTATGCTGCACCATGTAGGACTTCACTGTAGACACCACCTATGCGGACAAGAAGGGTTCTTCTGCTAGAAAGGGGCACCCTATGCACAGTGCTGGTATGCTCACGTTGTGCCTGTTAAGGAATAGGGCTTTTCCAGAAGCAGGTCACAGCCAGTTACTTCCCTCCAGCTCCAGAAGGGAGGATTAGGGAGACTTACCTCAAGAAGGATGTTTTTAAGCTCTTTATTCCACACCTTAAATACATTTATACTTAAGGAAAAAACCAGAACAGGCTCCTCAGGCAGAGCCCAGAGAAGTGAAAACGACAGTATTTACATCTCATGCACCAAGAGAGAATACACTGTTTTATTCCACAAAGCCATAGGGCTGTGGATAGAAACCCAAAAGAGTCAGTTTCAGTCCCCAGTGAGCTGCACAGCTCAGCCTTTGCACCTTTTGGAGAAAGACTAAATTTCATTTTCACATCAGTAGCAAACTAGGACTTTAGTCAACATGATCTGAAGGTTGTGAACCCAGCTCTGTCACGTTCTTCTCAGAAATGTGCATCAATCACCCACTCCACAGCCAAGCCCCTGTCAGCAACCAGAGCTGGGACATGGAACTCTGGGCACAGGGCCAAGCAAATCCAGGTTGTTTCCTGCTAATGAAACTTCACTTCTTACCTTCACTAAAACTCCATTGTTCAGGAGAAAGACACCCCCAAGATTGTATCCCTGCCAGGGACTGCAGTTCAGGGTCAGGAGAGCCCTTAAAGGGTCCCCATCACAGCACAAGAGCATGACTGGTATAGAGAACCAGCATGAAACAGCTGCCTGAATCTCTGCTGAGAAACCAAGACTCACCACCAGCCTTTTCAGTCCAAACTGTCCCCCTTTCGAACCAGAAGCTCCAAGGGAACAAGGAACAAGTTCAAAGGGCAAATTCCCAGATCCTTCCAAACTGACTTTTGAGCATCTGCAGCGGGACTGTGGAGGGGTGGAGGCAATTGGCCATGGGAAGCTGAATGCTGGGCTGAGGATGGGCTCACACTGGGCTGGGGAGTTTCCTGTATTCCCTGCTCACATTCCCCTGACCTGCTGGGCCTTTCCTGGTTGTCACTTGGCTGTGCCAGTTCTGCTGGGGCTGTGCAGCTCACCGACAGGTTAGCAGTGGGAGGCCTCTCACAGACGACACTGGCAGAAGGCGCATCAGCGGCCAGTTCTCCTGCACGGGCTCCTGGATCTGATTCTTTCCTGCTCCCATCTGGCTGCGGCGCAGTCAGTTCCCTGTAGGATCTGTGCATGTGGCTCTTCAATCCGTTATAGTCCAGGTTGCTTAGCTCTTCAGGGAGGGACATCAGCAGGTCTAGGACGACGGCAGACTCTGGAAGGAAGAACAGACCTTGTCAGGCTGCTCTAATTTAAATAGCGTATATACTCAATCATAAGCAGGTTTGTTTATAAGCCGCCCCCCCGAGATGGATAAGTAAAATGGAAAATTTTAATGACCCATTCAGAAGCTGACCCTATAATTCAGGGGTCAGCAAACTCTGTCTCCTGGGCCATCAGGATAAGCTGCTGGCAAGCCGAGATGGTTTGTTTACCTCAAGCGTCCGCAGGCACGGAGATAAACCTAAGTAAACAAAGTGTCCCGGCGCGCCAGCTGCTTACCCTGACAGGCCGGGACAGCAACTGGTGGGGAAATGTTTTGGGGTTTTTTTTGTGAGGGGGGGGAAGAGGGGTGAGAAGCTGGGCATCAGGGGAGTAACCCCTGTGACCACCCCCCACATGACCCCACCCCTAGCCCAGGACCCCCGCACTCTCCCCATCCCCATCCCTTCCCACCTTATCTGGGGAGAGCCAGGGGAGGATGTGTCTGGCACAGCTGCAGCCTGCGCCGGCGGGCCAGACTGGGTGGCACGGCTGCAGCCTGCTCCGGCGGGCCAGACCGGGCAGTGCAGCTGCAGCGTGCTCTGGGGGGCAGGCCGAGCGGCACTGCTGCAGCCTGCCAGCCCCGGAGCTGCAACTGCTTCGGAGGCTGGGGGAGAGCAGCCTGGCCAGAAGCGGAGAGACACTGGCCCCGCCTCTTCCCTTCTGTCTCTGCTGCTTCTCCTTGCCCCCTCTGTTGGGGGGAGGGGCTGTGTCCCACCGCTCCCTCTCTTTACCCATTCATAAGCCGACCCCTTCTCTGGTGCTTCCCTTTTTTTCTAAAAAAATTTGGCTTATGAACGAGTATATACGGTAATCCGTTTTTAATCTTGGTTTGCATTGTACTTTTCAGTTATTTTCCTAAAGAGAGGTTGATTCTCATTGATTGGAAACCATTAAAACATGCAGCTTTGCAACTAATTATACCCTTTTCACTCAACTTTGTGCTTCTTTTTGCTAACCAGAAAATTATGTTAGGAAATGGTGAATGATGCATTTGCTATTTACTAGATGATTATGTTTTTACCCATGATTTCTGATAAACTCCATTTTGATGGAAACTGGAATTCAGTTAAATGCATAAAAACAGCATGTTACAAATGTTTTTTTAAAAACCTTCTTAAATGTGCTGGATACACAAGAAAAAAGTAAGTTTATCACAACATTTTGAATTTAAAACTGTGGTCTTAGAACTAATACATCTCACTCTCATTTTCATTCATAGATTGCAAGAGGAAAACAAGCTTTCTGACTTTTTCAACTATCAGTGTCTCAATTTTGAATGGGCTAGTTATTGAACTGAATTAGCTGAATCAACTGAAAAGAGGAAAATATTCTCTTTGCACCTGCAGGAGAGAGTACTGCTTTCAAAAGCTTGTTTAAGAACATAAGAATGGCCATATTGGGTGAAACCAATGGTTCATCTAGCCCACGGTGTCAGATGCTTCAGAGGGAATGAACAGAACAGGGCAGTTGTTGAGTGATCCATCCCGTCGTCCCCTCCCAGCTTCTAGTAGTCAGAAGTTCAAGGACACCCAGAGCATGGGATTGCATCCCTGACCATCTTGGCTAATAGCCATTTATGGACCTATCCTCCATGAACTTATCTAGGTTTTTTTTTTTTTTAAAGTAACTATAATTTTGGCCTTTACAACATCCCCGGCAACAAGTTCCACAGGATAACCGTGCGTTGTGTGACGAAATACTTTCTTATGTTTCTTTTACTCCTGCTGCCTATTCATTTCATTAGGTGACCCCGGGTTTTGTTCTTACGTGAAGATGTCAGTAACACTTACCTATTTGCTTTCTCCACACGGTTCATAATTTTATAGACCTCTATCATAACCTCCCTTCGTCTTCTCTTTTCTAGACTGATCTCTCCTCATATGGAAGAGAAGAGATTAAATTTCGACCAACTCTAGTTCCAGGTGCTTGGCTAGTGACTTTTACCAAGTCAGTGGTTTGACTTTATTTGAAATTTGGCAGCAAATATGCACTGTTTGAATATTTGTTGTTATTTAAATTAGTGTAATAGATTATAGTAAGGTTTGATCTCAGCATAGGTTGTCAATTTTAAAGAGGTTTATTTTATAAAAAGAAAAGCGTGCTGAACTTAAATATAAAAAAACCCTATTTGAAAATTGTTTAAAAAAATTGTTGATTTGGGGCCATCCTGAACCTTGTCATTCATGCCTGCAGAACAGAGGCTGCATTCTGGCCCTGGATCCGCGAGCACGAACAGATGCGTGCCCCAGGCTCCACGCTCACTTACACACTCTGCACTAATTCCCCATCTCAATCACACTCAGGTCCCTCAGTCCCCAGGTCAAGTCAGTAGAGGAAGTGGCAGTGAATGGCTCACAACCCTCCCTGGCCCCATTAAAATCCCCCCACGGCCTGGATCATGGGACATTTTGATTAAGCAGCACATGGCTACAATGCTCCAGTCAATCTTGCCACAGAAATGCTTACTAAGGAAAGAGACGTGTTTTCAGCTGGCGGATCTGAAGGAGCCAATGCTTTGCGGTGGGAGGCCAGGAATCATGTGCCGCCTTGCTCATCTCAGTCTGAGCACAATGTCTCTGTTTATAAGGAGACTAGCACTTATCAAGCAATATACAAGTATGAGAATGGAGAAGACAAAGGTGGGCCAGGACTCCCCCACTCACCATCTCAGCACAAGAGGGATCCCTGAGCATGTGCACCCACTCAGCCCTCCAGCACGGTGTGCAGAAGGACGGCCAGGAATGCCACGAAAGGGAAAGTGGAGGCAGATGCTAGGACATAGCAAACACTCCCCTCCCCTGAAACAGGCAAGGGAGCAAATCAATTTCCAGACTCTGGAGGAAGCTACTGATTGGCAATGAGCAAGTGGTGGTTACAAGATCCCAGGGAACATATACGGTGCCTGTGAGCCTCTAGCTGGCCTTGGATTAATTTCCACAGTTCAAGTAACCCAACACGTCACCAAGGCTTGCTGGTGTCACACTCTGAGCTAAGCTATGAGCGAGTGACAGCTATCACAGCCAGCTGGTCCCCTCCCTGAAGATCACAAACATGTAGCTTTCTGGATCCCAACTCACCATATGGCGAGAGCTCAGGCACTTTGATGTCCCTGGAGAGCATCGATAAATATTTATAGATCTTCTCAAAGTCCACGCTGAATTTCTCTGGTTCCCCATGAACACCTGGGTCTGTGCTAGTGCTGGAGGACTGAGCTGCTGCTGGGGGGCCTGGGGCAGCATCTCCATTCCTTGCTGCATCATCAGGGGCTGGTGATGCATCACGCTGGCTCGAGGAGTCCAGAAGGACCTTCTTCTCTGCAGCTCTGGTCAGCTTCTGGGGAATTGAGTGGAGCAAACTGAGCGGCTCGGTGACTGCGATGGTCAGAACCTGAAATTCAGAGATTCTAAGGGACAGAATCATCTAGTCTGACCTCCTACATGACACAGGCCACAGAACTCGCCTGAATTAATTAATGTTTGAACTAGAGCAGATCTTTTCAATAAACTTCCATTCTTGATTTTAAAATGACCTGTTCCAATGGTTAATTCCCATCACTGTTACAACGTTGTGCCTTATTTCTACTCTGAATTTGACTAGCTACAAGTGGGAGCTCAGGAAACAGAAGGAACGGGCCCCCCTTTCCAGAAATGCCAGACACTCCCAGGGCAGCCCCCACCCCCCCAACGTCAGGCACTCTCTGACCCTACAGCAGACCTTCCTCAAGGTGAGACTGGGCCAGGAGAGCCAGCCACCATGCAGCACAGCGAAGCAGAACTAAATGCAGTGCAATAAGCTACAGGGGCTTTGGACAGCCTGATGCTCTCTGGGGGCATCTCTGATATCCAGAAGCGAGAGGAGATGTGGTTGTTCATGAGGTGCATGCCAAGGGAACGGATTTGCTCACTGCTGGGACAGGTGGCAGAGCTACCACTGCCCATGCCCTACTTCGATCTTTTCACCTTTACGTAGCTAAGCTGCACAGAAAGCAGCAGTTGGGAGAGCAACACTCAATGTCAGAACAGCTGGGTTCTACTGAGCTCTGCCACGGACCTGCTGCAGGATGTCAGGCAAATGGTTTCACAGTATGTACCTCAGTTTCCCCCACACCAACGGGAAGGGTGAACTGCTGCTTGGCACTGCAGCAATGAGGCCACGTGAGCACAGGGGAATGTGGTAGCATTCCTGTAGTGGACAGGGATGGAATAGCCTGCCTATAGCAGGGATGTTTCCTACCAGCGACCAGAAAGGACTGGCAGGCTTGAGCCCTGTCACTGGCCAGATTTCATTCTCCATTCTCTGTCGAAGTCTCTGACCCTCCTGAGTTCTTGGCCCTAGTGGGATCTTGCAGCTGTCACCGGGTGCTGATGCCTGTTACCTGAGAGAAAGCTGCTGTCACGGTTTCTTCCAGCTTATCCGTCAGCTTCTCAGCAAGATCTGTCCAGACCTGAGAAGCAGATTTCAATGAGTACACTGGAATCAGGCACCCATTCACTTCCGTACAGCCACAGTGCGAGAAGCATGAGGCCAGCCAGCAGAGGGCAAGGAGAGCACAGAGTGAGACAGGGACAGCTCCAGAAAGGGCAGACTCACGGCAAATGCCACGTGCCTCAAGCCCATCCTGGTACAGTACAATCAAGCTCACCCTTGCCCTGGTGCTGTACAGACAAACCAGCGCTGCCCACCCCCACACAACACCAGCCCTGATTCCCAGGTTCTTTCTCTCTAAGCCGTACCTCGATAGGAGCTAGGATCTCAGCTTCCTTGCGACTCTGCTCCTCCCGGCAGCGGCGATACTCCATCTGTATGGCCTCCCTTGCTACGCGGCCCTTCAGCTGGTGGATGAAGGCCAGAATCTGCAACCACGGGGAGGTTCAGGCATAGCAGCATACAGAAATGCCCCTTCCCCAATAAACAGCTCATGGGTGGGCTGGGAAGGGTGTGACTGAATGCCTTCTATCCCAGCTGGACTACATAGCTGCAGCTGAACTGGGTGTCCGTTCCACCTTTCCCAAAACCCTCTCTGGTTCCAGACAGCAATAAGTTAGTGGGATGAACTTGCAAAAGGATTGTACAACTAATAAGAAGGACCAAAAAAATTTTAGGCCTGAAAAGCCACGGGAGGAGACGGCTGCGCCTAGGTCAGGGGTATGCAAACTATGGCCGGCAAGCTCCGGCCAGGGAGCGGGATCAGGGGCTGCACCACGCAGCTCCCAGAAGCTGCGGCATGGCCGCACTCCAGCTCTTACATGCTCCAATGGCCCCCTCCGGCACTCCAATGGGAGCTGCAGGGACAGTGCCTGCGGACGGGGCAGCGTGCAGAGCTGCCTGACCACGCCTCCGCGTATGAGCCGGAAAAGGGACATGCCACTGCTTTCAGGAGCCAGTTGAGGTAAGCGCCGCTCAGAGCCTGCACCACTGAGCCTCTCCCCATGCCCCAACTCCCTGCCCCAGCCCTGATCCCCTTCCTGCTCTCCAACCCCTTGATCCCAGCCTGGAACATCCTCCTGCACCCCAAACCTCTCATCCCCAGCCCAACCCCACCGCCCGCACCCCCCATCATAACCAGCACCCTTTCCTGCACCCCTGCCCCAGCCCAGATCCCCCTCCCACCCTCCAAACCCCTCGGTCCCAGCCCAGAGGGGCCTCCTACACCCCAAACAACTCATCCCCAGCCCCACAACAAAACCCGTACCCCAATTTTGTGAGCATTCATGGTCCGCCATACAATTTCTATTCCCCGATATGGCCCTCGAGCCAAAATGTTTGCCCACCCCAGCTTAGGTACGACGATGATGGGAACCATTAAGATATCTGGATAGAAAATGCTGTGGAGAAAGCTGGCAGGGAGCAGCTGAGGGGGGAACTGTGACTGCCAGGGGCAGATAAGGGGCAAGACATCACCCACAGAAGCCCACAGCCTGCAAAACCCCTGAGCTACAGGAGATGCATAAGCCAACACCCCCTCTAGTGCTGCCAAAATCAGGGACCAACATAAATAAAAATAAGAGGAGCTGCCGCCAGGCAGCACTAGGTTTCCCCACCCCAACCTGAACAGTGGAGAGGAACCTGCAGGGCAGTACGATGGTGGCCCCCATTCCCAAGCGAAGCAGGAGATTGGGCACTCTCTCTCTTTTGTTAGCAGAGAGAGTGCTGTTTCCTAATTACACTTATTCTGAACCTGGCCTGGTCAGTCACCAGCTTGATTAGGACCAGACCCCACTCACCTCAGCTTCACTCCTACGGGGCAAATGCTCCTGCAACAGCGCTGTCTGTAGCTCCCCGTGAGGGGCTTGGGCTTTCAGGGCCTTAATCAGTTGCCGCTTCTCCTGTACCGTCCATGGGGCCCGAGTGGGTGCGTGACATGCAGGGGGGCCCGTTTCGTAGCGTGTGGGGGCCGAGCGGGTCCGAACCGGGGGCTTCATGGCTCAGGCTCTGCAGCAGGAGAAAAGGAGGAGTGAGAGGTCAAAGCCCCCAGGTCCTCCCATCTACCTATGGCCCCTGCCCACTCTCTGGGGCATCTCACCCCCAGCCATCCCCTCTACCCACAGCCCCCCTTCATACACTCACTGTCCAGGACACCTGCTCCCCATCTACTCTCAGCCCTCCCCCCACCGCACTCACAGTCCAGGGCACCTGCCCCCATCTACCCACAGCCCTCTCCCCCCGCCACACTCACAGTCCAGGGCACCTGCCCCCATCTACCCAGAGCCCCCCTCCCACTCGCTGTCCAGGGCACCTGCCCACAGCCCCGTCTCTACGTGGCACCTCACTCTCACCCCACCCCCCTACGGACCCTGCAGGGGAATCCAGGCTCTGGCCGGGGAAAGAGCGAGGACTCCGTTCCGTCTCTGTCGCACAGATATGACGTCACAGCAAGTGCTTTGAGGATCGGAGCCGCGGCGGAGAATCTGGACGGGCAGGGGGAAGAGAAGGGAAGTAATGCATTGTGGGAAGCGTGGTGTTTCCACGGCTTCCATCTCCCATCGGGCCCCGCGACCCCATTGGAGATATAGTGTCACCCAGCCTCTATCTCCCATCGGCCATTGCGGGGCTCGGGACTTTCCGTTTCCAGGACGAGGGCCCTGTAAGGTCGGAAACGGAAGCTGCCGTGAGAGGCGCTGCCCTGAGAGCGAGGGAGAGGTGTGAGCGCACAGAATAACGTGCGGCCCCACGCCGGGCCCGGTGCATCACGGGAGTCGCAGTCTTCGCCCTGCAGCTGATTTCAGGGGGTGGTTCCGGTTATTGGGTTTTTTTGCTAACTGCGCCCGGCGCCCCCAAGCCTCTCCCCGGGGTATCCCTCTAACCACCCCGCAGCGCCCCCCAGGGACGGGACCGGACCCCTGGTGTGACGCCGAGAGCTCTGCTCGTTCCCCAAGAGCCAGGGACCCTCGGGCTGGGCGTGCGGCGCTGCTCCGTGCACCGGGCCGGGTTTGCTACAGTAGGGTTACCATTCGTCCGGATTCCCCCGGACATGTCCGGCTTTTTCAGGTTAAAAATAGCGTCGGGGGGAATTTGTCAATGTCCGGACTTCCCCTCCTCCCCCCTCCCATGCAGAGCGTGCGCGCGGCTTACAGAGCAGCCGGTACTCCAACAGCCAGAGCCCTGCTTGCACTTCCCCCTCCTCCCTCCTGAAACTTGACACCCCTCCTCCCTCCT